AGTCTTTACCCCCCACCATGCATTTTGATCGCGTCCAGCAGGCAAGCTCCGGAACACAATGGTGCCCTGTACACAACCGACCATAGATCTGCATCCGTCATGAACATGGCACTAGAGAGTTTCAAAGTCGCCATCGTTGCCACAGGTAGCTTCAACCAAATGATTCTTGAAGTTCGTCTTTCAGTAGGGTATCACACCGCCCCCAAGTCTCCCTCCGTGACAGTCGGCTCGGAAATGGCGCTATCCAGGGATCTTCACCTCCGAGTCCATGATATTCGAGGACAACCAGGTCTTGGTGAAAGCTATAAGATCCGGCCGGTTCACTGTGGCATGAAGCTGAATTTCGTCTTGTTTGTTTCTGAGACCGCGCACATTGGAAGAAAATACGCGCCCGGGCATGACATGGAGTGGTCTCCAGCGAGTTCTTGGCGTTTTTCGAAGTACACGAAGATCCACGATATGTAGGTCTGTCACCGTTATCACGACATAATCTGAGTTCATCAGCTGTTTTCCATTTTTATTCGATTCTCCGAAGAGGGGTCTCGCAGCACGAAAAGTTTCACCTTTAGGATACAGAGCTCGTCGGAAAATGCGACGGATTTCATCACCACTTTGACATACAATCTCCACGAGACGGACCTTAGAGGTGTACTCCTGTTTCTTGCCAAGGTGGGAAGCGGAGACTGTTAATTCCTGGCTCGCCTTCGTCTAGCAGTAACGAGATCATCCGTTTTAGAAACTCTTGATCATACATAGTCCTTTCAGCTGGAATAGCTTTGGACGACCCAGACGCATTTATGATGATAAGGCAATGGTCACGAGAATGTGTTTTGTTGTTATCGGGGAGCTTCGAGTTTTGGGTAGGCGGACCATCCTTAAGCAATTTTTCCAGCGATTGACTATCCAGAACCAGCTTCCACTGCGATTGAGAAGACGATGGTCTGGGTTCCACCCTGACACCCGTCTTGCCTTTACTTTCAGACACTCGTATTGGCGAAGGTGATGGTGCGCTTTCCTTTCAACGGATGCATACGTCTTGGTATTTTGGGCTTCACAGTAATCAACAGCCGTCGGCATCGCAGAATGTGTAGAGGAGTGCGCCCGGCTTCGCTTACCAGTGGGGCGTAACTGGGTCAGAAGCAAATGTCGAAAAGCCTGGGTATGACTACGAGGCAGTAGCGATGTTTGTCTCGATTTGAGAAGAGAAACGCGGGCTGAGTGCAAGCAATCCATCAAGCGGTGCAGTGTCGGTATCTGTCTTCTTTGCTGGAGTCCGACTGGCCAGGCGAAACTCGTCGATTACAAACATTCGACACTGATCACCATGGATTGTGATACCTGAGGCTGCCGTTCATTTTAGGCATTCATACAGATCGAGTTCGATCTTGCAGTACGTTGACATGGCAAGGAGCGGACCTCAGTGGCGTTCGTGTTGTGAGTTTCTTTGTCTCACCCCTATCCCGTTTTTCTTCTGTCTCCAACCACGATCTTTCCCTTGACGCATGATATGTTACTTAGTAGTGTGTTGCCTATTTTCCATACTATAATTTTCAGTATTTTACTTTCTCGTATGCCTTTGTGTATTGCGGCACAATAACTGATGACTTTTCGGCCCGTAGCCTAGACGTTGCAAGCTTGAGTTGTAATCTGATGGCACGGGTTCAAGCTTACGTAGCGACAGGGCAGCCCTGCCGTTATCCTTATCCCACGTGCGACTGATGGTTGCGCGGCGGCTGGCGTCGGCACTCTGGGTATGGGCTTACTGCTGATGATTTTTGAATTGATAGTGGTTGAAATATTTTCTCACATTCGGCTATTGTGTAATGGGGATGATGATGGAGAGGGGGATCGGTTCTAAGGGTTAATGCAGGAGAGGCCCCTGGCAGTCTAGGGTAACGTTACATTTCGGGGTTGTAATGCATAGCCCGAAATTACTAACAGTCCATTCTAAGTTGTCCAGTTCTACTTTGCACGTTTGTGAGCTGTTACAGCTCCACGCCTTGTAGGTCGTATCCAGCGAACTTGGTAGGGAACGGTGACAGCTAGCAACTTTTTCTCTCACCGCAGAAGATAACAATAGGCGGCAACAGTTTGCCATAAGCCATCACTCTACCCGAACACGCACGTAATGCGCTCTGATGTTTACCTATTTCTCAGGCACTTTTCCTGAGTAGACCACCTCAAAGGGCACATCAATCCACGGAATCGAAGATACTGATATCGAGGAGCACGACTACGGTGGGCGGCAAATAATTATGACGGTACTCCAACAACTGACGTAAAATTAAGTTGTAATGGATACATTCGAGACTTTGACGGAATACGGCCTGCTCCTGACGAATCTGGTCTTCATGAGAATCAAAGAGGCACGTAACAGAGGTAAATAAGAGCAGACTGATCCCTCTAAGCTTGCCGCATTTTGAACATGAGCGCATTATGAAAATTGGGACTATAACGGAGCGGCTCCAACCTGTTGCATCAGGTTTCTTCTTCCACAGCTTCACTACATGTTGTGCAGATCATCTACAATAGCACTTCCCCCGAATCTGAAGAGGGCTGGAGGAAGTCTATCTACTCTTGCGGCCTTATTCAATTTCAACAGTTTTATCTCACGTTTAACTTCTGTGCGAAGGGGAGGGATTCAGCGGAACGGCCCAGAAAGAAGCGTTATTAATGGCCGATGGAGAATATGGTACCTGTATGATTAAACTGATTTTCATGGTGTTCGACCTAATTCTCTAATTGTTTTAGCAATATGTAAGTAGGCTGTTGATTCTCGCCACATATAGTCTCGCTAACACCAGATCTCGTCCTGCCCGTTTAGCGTATCAGACGGAATAACATCCGCCGGTTACCGAGGACATCGGCCATTCCTATCTCTAATGCACAATGGGACCACAGGATTTCACATTTTTTCTTCAGACCAACACGCAGTTTCGCTCTGTGGTCTTTGTAACTTTCATTGTGTTCGTTTTCATTCGGAATGTGTCGGCGAGCATCCAGAAGTTCCAGCGACTGCATAAAGACCCAATATCCTTGTGAACAATCAGACATGCTACATGAAAACATACCTGCTTCCAATAATGTCTGGCGGATGTGCGACGGGTCGCCCTTCACTATGTTATAAGAACGCTTACTCAGCTCGGATACCAGCTTTTTATGAAATGCATTTAGAACATCTGAATTTGACAGTTGACAAGTATATTGCGCTCATAAGGTCACTGTATGCTTCACTGATGCGATGTCTGCGAGCGGCACAAACGAGTGCGTGGTCGGAGTCCACACTCATACTCCAAATCGAGCAACAGTTTTGGACACTACGTCCCCAGCGGTAGCTGATCGCGATGTGCTCGATTTTTCGTCCATGGTTGGTTTGAGGCTGGTGGGCGTCATGTCACCGTTATCGTTACGGGAGCTTACATCGTGTTGGGGGCCTAGGTGCCGCTATCAGTGGACAGTGGGCGTTTAGATCACCACTCAGCACTACAGTATCCGTACTTTTTCTGTTACAAAGATGTTCAATCTTTTGGTAATCAAAATCATCTTTCGCTGAGTCAACGCCACAATTTATAGAGGCGTAGGTCGCAATGACAAAAAGACACCGCTTGTTTGCGCGCAGCCTCGAAGCTAGCCCATATGACGGCGAAATCCGGCTGTTGATTGGGATCCAGTCAACCAAGGCAGCTTTAGCCCGGAGACTCAGAGTAATGCCGGCACCGAATTGACCAGTGTTTGAAGGTGCGTTCTCACCAGTCACATGCAATGATAACGCGTCGAAAGTGTCGCTTGTGGGGGGTCGCAGGGTAATCACGGAACTCACATCTTTGCAGACGTGTTTCTGGTAAGCAGCAGCTGTCGATCAATAAGGTTTTAGTGTTCGGGTATGTGCTCTCTGGTGGCTAATCTGCATTAAAGTGCATAAGTTGAGGTATGCCACTCTTAGCGAGGATCCAGACTTTTAAATAGAAACGGATGAACTGATCTCATCCTCTTGCTTGAACATGGACTTGTCGACTAGACCGGTGCGATGTTCTGCACTTACGTGAGAGTCGAAACTAGAAGACAAGCGGCCATTGAATCAAGTGGGGGGGCACAATTTGGGGTTCGAAAATAGGTTGCATGAAGGTGAGGTTGGGATGGGATGATAATGATGTATAGGTGCAAGAGGCGGAATAAGAAAACTGGAAGACTTGAGCAGTAGCAGCCTCGTTCCTATCCACCATGTTCGATTCAGCAGCTAGGGCTCGATTGATGATCCTCTGCAACAGCCAGTGCATCAAGGAATTGTGTTGAGAGAAATTGATTATTGTGTTACCCGGTCAGGGTACTGTCAAGTTGCCCAGGCCTAGACAGGAGAATAATTAGGGTTCTCAACCAAAACTTTTGGTTCAAAAACCTGTCTGCAACGCAGTGGGGCTTTGGTGCTGGGCTACAGAGAGTCCGTTTTTATGGAGTAAGCAGTCGCCTTTACTTCGAAGTCTAACCAGATAGGCCAGGAGATTGAGCTGGTCTGGCCTCTAACCACTGACCACTCTTGTATGAGTGGCTGTGAAATTGCAAGAAGAACAACGCAAAGCATTGCACCACATTAAGGTTCAGTCTCGTCAGCTGTGCAGTGCATCTTTATGGTCCCTTGGCATCTAGTGAAGCGATTATTGTCAAGACGTAAACGAACTGGCGAGGGACAGAGAATTTAGGAAGCCAGAGGACTCGAGGTTGTCGATACATTTTGGAGCGCTGAGATCGAAAGCAGGCACGAGTTCACCTACGAATGTCTTGATTTTATCCAGGTCAAACGAGGAATGCATCAGCGTAATCGCCTTTTCCTTCTAGTTCTCTGCATTTCTGTATGTTCGCGCATCGAATGCTCTAATACTTTTCTTTCTTCGCTGATCTGTCTCGTGGTTGACTTCTCGATATCATTCGCTGTTGCTCTACACAGCTGCTCTTCCGTTCATTGGTGAGGCGCCTCCTTCGGTCCAGCACAAAGCCTTCGCGCTATGTATCAATTCTTATCTCGTTGCAAACTCTTTCCTTTCATCAACCTTCGGTCTGGGATTAGTGCGTTCTGCATACTGTCTGCTTCATTGGTTTTAGCAATGGCCTGGCATTCGGGCGGAAGAACGCACGAGGAGTTAGTAAACAATTTGTTCAGTAAGTTGTTCGCCTTGCTTTGGATTTTACTTGTATTAGATAATGGCATCATCCGTACTCCTAGCATCAAAGAAGCCATGATGAGTGTGGACCGCGGACTCTTTTCCAAAAGCCAACCTTATGATGACAGCCCCAAGCCAATTGGTTATGCTGCAACCATAAGTGCACCACATATGGTAAGTTAAGTTTCGATATCGTTCTTTACTTATAAACTCTTAGTCTCCTGAACGGCTTTGTATGTCATTTTTGTGGAAAACGCAGTTTTACATTTTGTTGATCGAGTACATCTATTTTATCACATCTCGTCTTGACTCGAGCAGATTGATGGGGTACATTTCTGAAGATCCTCCGGTATATCTGAGTTAGTCGTGCGAAATAGTGACTAAATTAACATTTTACCGTACCTTCAGATGATCGATTCGGAATGTTGGACTGCTTCTGTTTGCCTGAACCGTGAGCACTTCACACACATACACGGCACTGCGGTTAGATCTACGCTGCTTTTATAACACGCAGTATCCAGTTATCCTTCTCTAGTAAACATCGCGCCTTACCATTTATAGACTACAACCTTAGTAAACGTTATTCTCGTTACTGCTGAAGCCTCTCTTCAGCTATCGATAACTAGTCGAAGATACCCGGAGAGATACAACAAGTCTGTTGGTATGAGCCAACCACTTCGATAAGATAGCACCCGCTCTTCATTATATGCTCTGCCGATGGACCTCTCTCTATATTGAACGTTCCATGCTTTATCCTTGAATAATGAACGAGGGATGATTGTGACAGCTCGGCTAGTTTACGATTGTCTTTGCTTTAAACACATAGTGACTACTATTTACATCTGCTTAGTTGTTTGAAAAAGTAGTCATGGAAAACGTAGTCACTGATTACAAAACTAGATGCTGTTGGTCGTTCTCGCCTTCCAGGGTAGAATCCACGTGACTCGCCTTGTGCTTCGCTTTAGATGTTACAGGACATGACTCGCAGCCGACACCAGTGGCGTGTCAGCTGTTGTTTCCTAGTCGGTCTGCCTGTTTAAAGTGTTTTTTACGGATTTATGTGTTGGGTAGTAGTTGATTATGACGCGGGGCACTGAAAGTCGCAAGAAAGCTATGTGGCGGATGCCGCCTTACCTTTGCACAATAACCAGCTGTTTGTACTGGCTTGTTGTTGACAGGGTGCAGGCGCCTTGACGCTGATTGTTTGCTTAGGGCATCAAGATTTTCCGGGAAGTTCCCCTTCTCTCCCTGTTATTGTACTTCGTTCCGCAGGTCACCGTGGTTGTACGGCAGCGAAGTGTCAGTTCAAATGGCTGATGGGCTGCTGTTGTTTGGTTGTTTAGTCAGTTATTAGGTGGAAGTTCATCACATCTATACTCAGCCAAACAGCCATCCGCAGTGCGCATTCCATCTGGCTCCAATGGGACTCTAACCTCAACCCGACTATTACCAGTCCTTGGTTAAGCCCATTGGGTTACAGGAAACGATAAGAGTGTGTGATGGCTGTCTGACTGTGTTTAGATGTTATGAACTTTACTTATATCCTTCAACTTTCCCTACTCCCCCCTTGTAATCAGTGTACAGATCAAGCCGCTTGGAATGCGACAAGTTAATTGATGGCTTCATTTTGATAAGTTAGTCGCTTGGTGAGGAGTTACTCTGTCTTCTACGTGGCAATAACTTGCAAATTAATGGATAACGAGTGGCGTTATATCGCATCTGTTAACAGTTACCTCAGTGCTTACCGTCTCCTGTAGCCCAGTGGCCTTGACCATGGGCTGGTACGTCGGGTTGCGGGTTCTAGCCCCATCTGGGCAAATGGATTGCACACTGATACCAATTTCCGAAAGAACGCAACGGCCGTATTGCGCTTTTTCGGGCCTGTGATAGCTGTCTGAATGCGATAAACTTTTACTTACTCCATTCAGCTCCCTTTTACTGCTCCCTTGTAGTCAGTTATCGGTCACTGTTGTTGGGTCACTTTGTAACACCAGCTTTTGAACCGGACAGCGAATTTAATTCATGTTGAGGTGTACGGCACAGGCGGGTCATTTGAGGACTCAACTCCACCGACACTTATCATCAGAGCGACCTTATGCTGTCACAGTGACTCTGAATCCTACATAATGTAGTGGTTTGCGTGCATCTTTGATCATTCTGTCTCAAGCATCAATTATCAGTACTCCCAGATTGTATAAACTACCCTAGACACATAACGATTGAGCCCCTTCATCACCCATGCTGGGCATGGCTAAATCTGTATATCATACGTTGGCAAAATGGCTGGACGAACTACTGAAAACAACAAAAAGCGAGCCATCGAATCATAGTTTGCGTGACACTTTCTAGTTCGTCGACAGAGCTAGACCCCAAAATATGGATAACAAGCAGCTATTTTCGCTCAATGTGACGTCGATGTTTACTAATATCTTCCTTAAAGAGACTATCGATTACCTTGCCGAATACATCGAGCGCACGGGTAAACAAATGGGCTTATCGGTGGATTAGCTGAAGATGCTACCACAACGTCCTATTTCACTCTGCCGGACAGTTATTCCGAAAAGAAGACGGGGTCACCATTGGGTCCCTTGTTCATCGAAATGTTCATGGCTAAACTAGAGAAAGATCCGCTGAGCGAAGTGATTGAGCTTGTGCCACTATATATATATATATATATATATATATATATATATATATATATATATATATATATGCGCCACTATATATATATATATATATATATATATATATATATATTTCGACGACGTGATGTGCATAGCTGACGGCTCTGTGGACCATCTCTAACTATTACGAAAATTTAATCGGACCCACAGGAACATTCAGTTTGCATGCACTCCGCGTCTAGCTTTTCTGGATGTACACATTTCATGTCCTCCAGCTGGCTTACTGCAGCGTCTAATCCTCTGGAAACCAAAATAACTGGGTCAATATACGCATTTTGATGGCGGTGTGCCAATTAGGCAAAAACTGGACAAAGTATTGTGGGAGGAGCGATACAAATATGCTCCCAGGACACATTTGGAGCAGAGCGCATCGTAATAAGAAAATTGTTCATTAATAACATCTATCCCAAGGTTTTCATTGACATGCATATGCGAACTGACTGTGACTGCCAAAGCACCTACGGTAGGAAAGACGCCCGGTTACTTATTGTTTCCATTCAAGGGAGACAACAATTCCGAACATCACAGCAGACGATTAAGAGTGGCCGTCATTAACACCTGCGGAGCCTCGTAATTACGCATTATCTTCACTTCTACGCCCATGCTACACCTCCGACTGAAGAATAACTTATCTGTGGATTTCACCACTTTTTGTGTGTATCAATTTACCCGTTCCTGTGGGACATGTTACATAGGTCGCACCACGAGACGTTTGTTTGCACGCGTCCGCGAGCATCGTCCAGCATGGCTAAGCCGAGGGGTGAACAAAACCTGCACCACCGCAATAGTCTCGCACGCAGTCCCGTCGTTATCACTTAAGCCTTTCACCCCATCTATCATGTGATGGATATCCGTTCCAAGCCCATAAGATGCCGGATCCTTGCATTGGCGGAGGCGATCACAATTCGTCTCAGCGACCTCCGTTGTGTGTGTAAGGCTTTGGCTTTACTATGGCCATCTGTCGTCCGGGCAGATTCCATATGAAGGAGGAGCGCCACGTTTTCTTTGTTTATTTGTAGGTTGGACCAAAACTTCTTGTGAGTAATAACTAACTTTTTAACGGTAGATGAAGTCAGCACCGACCAAAGTCGCTGCCTGCGGTCCGTCTCGCCTTCCAGCTTAGAGTCCACGTGACGTGCCTTGTGCTTCGCTTGAGACTTTACAGGACATGGCTTACAGTCTGCACCAGTGGCGTGTCAGCTGTCCTCTGCTCGTCGGACTGCCTGTTTCGAGTGTGTTAGGTACTGGGTTATCTTCTGGGCATTGGCTGATTATGACGTGGAGCAGTGAAAGCCGGAAAGGAGCTGTCTCGCTGATGCCGTCTTGTCTTCGCACGATATCCAGCCGTTTATAATGGTATGTTGTTAACACAAGATGTAGGCGCCTTGACCCTGATTATTTCTTGCAGGAGAAGATTTTCCAGTAAGCCCCCCTTCTCTCACTCTTATTGTACTTCGTTCCGCAGGTCACCGTAGTTTTACGGTAGCGAAGCATTAGTTCATACGGATGGTGTACAGCTGTTGCTGCTGCTGATGATAGCGATCGCATGTCCACTTGGCATCATTCGCAGCCATCCTATCTTAATGTAACAAATGCGGTTGTCAGCCTGAGCAGTTAGTCTCTTTACAGTCACAGGAATTTTCCGATGCTTACCGATGCTTTCTAGCTGGAAGCGAGTACGGTAAACCTCGCAACGCTTTCAGCGCATAATTGCGCGCCTGGTTCGATATGTAGGGAATGGAGCAGTCTAACTGTCATAGGAAGCTGGCAGGTGGCAATGCTAAATTGTCACGTAAGTACTCTTTGAAATGTTTGTTTTACCAAAATTTCCTGATGGCTTTGTTGGTCGAGGGTCGTGTAAACACGACCACTCAAATCCTTACAATGGTCCAACAGCGCGTAACTGTTTGCGACATCCGTTTTAACTCTGTCTTATATAACAGGTAACTGCGCTACCATCTAATGCTTTTTTTACTCATATCCACCGGATGTAGTGATTTTTCCTCTGTGTATCTGCCTGAGAATGCAGCTGTATGCTGGGGTTTTTCGTGAGTTTAGCTTTACAGCTTTCCACCTGCTGCTACTTTAAATCTGTTCATTCTCGATAGTACCCGACTGTTATTCTATCACCGGGGTGGCGGTAGATCCGTTTGTCTTGACTTTCGCCGCCGAGACTGTTTGGAAGATGCTCTGCAGCAGTACAACACAGAGTTGAAGATGCCGCTTCATCGAAAACGAGATGGGATGATGCACTTGCCAAATGAATTTGTCAAAAACAAGATCCCATTAACCATGTGCAAAAAAGACACAAACTTCACCTCTATGTCATTGAGATTAGTGTCACTAATCATTAATTTATCTATTCCGGACGCTCGCTCTTCGTCGTGTTACCTAGTTCAAACTTTAGATCCTCTTGTATTTGCCTAGTATAGTTAGGAATTACAGGACGCATCAAATCTGTCTCCTTGCGCAACTGCCTTTAGACTTACTGTCATGTAACCATATAACCATTAGCGACCTCCCTCCACGCAACCGCCTAGTAGCTTCTTGTCGTTTTAGTTTGACCTTTTTAAAGTGCACGCTTTGAATGACTGCGATTGCTTTGTGGTTGACTGCTGTAATTATTCCGGTGAAATTCATTCGCAAGTCCGCTGCAGCAAACTTTTTCCCGTTTTCACCACGGTGACTTGTGAGTGCCTTCTTTTTGTGCCGTCCTTTTTGTCACCCTTATAGCACGCACATGCCTTGGAAGCTCTTAAGGAAAGACTGTACCCTGGAGCTCATGTGCTCGACGTTGGCTCTGGTTCAGGCTATCTTACCGCATGTATGGCCGCATTGGTGAGTTCGTTGTAGTATGTTCGTGATTTCTCTCCTCCTCGTGTCTCCGCAATCTTGCGTGCTTCTCAAGTTCCACTTCCGGATAGTATTGCAAAATGCCAAGACAGCCTGGTATCTTTTTAACGGATTGTTTATTTGCATGAGCTTGGTGTTCCGTCGTTTTTTTGCTTGAAGATCCGTGGGACTCATCATAAGTATACATTAGCTGAAGGTGAGAGACACCGCCGCAATACAAATAGATAAGCTAAATGAAAAAGCGTGATGCTAAACGTTACAGAGTACAAAAATCGCTTATTAACATTCTATGCTTCAAGACAGATCGTGATCGGAGGGAAGATAAACGAAATTAGGAGGGACGAAGATGCTCCCGACACAAACGCCACTGAGGTCGGCTTCTTGCCATGTCAACTAGTGTATCGAACCAGTCGTATTCATCGTCCTTCGGCCCTCAGCCCTTCAGTCGGGAGACACCAACCGACGCCAAATTCGATGTCAGTGCCTTCATTCCTTTCGACTAAATCGTCGCTTGGCCTCCTTTTCTTCCGTCCACATCGCCTGCGCGCAAACAACGTATGTCGCGAGAGTCAGTGTGCTGGCATGCGCAACACCTGGCCCTCCCATCGAAGCTTGTTGCGTTAAATAACGGTACCGAGCGGTTCACTCGCTCTTCCTGCACCAAATGCACGACGCCGAACACGCTCATTATTCACGCGGGGCTTCCACCAGATGTGGGCTAAGCTGCAATGGCAGCGATGACCGAACGGGACTAGCCCCTTTATGTCCGTCGATTTGATGGGCCAGGTTTCGCAACTATATAGTTGGGTTTAACAAACGGCTGCGTTGTAAACTCTGCCCTTCGGGGCGAGAATACTATCGCGTCGGTGCCCCAGCGGGCGGAGATTGGCAAAACCCCTGGGGCTTTTGCTATACGGTTCGTGGTATCATCATCCATCCCACAGGCGTTGATGTAGCTGCCTAGTAATAGAATTTTTCGACGACTTTAGCTGATCCCCGGAGTCACCTCAGGGATGGGTTTCGGCACGTCATGGAGAGGGGCTTTGCATTTCGACGATGCAACGCCCATCCAATGCTAATTTGTCCAATCCTACTTCGTACGCTTGTGAGCTGTCACAGTTTGGAGCAATTTCGTCGGCGTACTCGAGCCAAGGAATCGCTCATCTGGGACCAGCTCCGCGCCTAGTGGGCCTCGCTCATTGAACGCAGTTTCCAAGGCCTCGTGGATGGGTAAGTTATTAAGGAATGTTGATAGCAGGCATCCTTGTCTCTCACTGCTGGCGATATAGAAGGGCGACTACCACTTGCCGTGAGCCCTCACTCTGTTCGAACTATGCGTGTGAAACGCTTTGATAATGTTTACATATTTAACGGGCCCACTTTTCTTGAGTAGACAGTCCAAGAGGACACATGGATCAACCGAATCGAAAACACCTTTGATGTCGGGTAACACGTCTACGGTGGGCGGTGCTCCAACAGCTAACATAATGTGATGCTGTGCTCAATGCAACAGAGACTGACGAAACCCGGCTTGCTCCTCACGAATTTGGCCTTCGCGAGTTTATCAAGAACGAGTGAGACAGATAACCTACGAGCAACTGAGGTCATACTGATCCTTATATGATTGCCGCATTCCAAACGTGAACCCTTTTTGAAAATTGGGACTATAACGAAGGAGCTCCAACATGTTGCGACAGTTTCCTGTTCCCACGGATTCACTGGTAAGTTGTACAGATTATCTACAAGAACAAGTCCCCCGAGTCTGAAGAGGGCCGGAGGAGGTCTATCAGCTATTGCTTCCTGAATCATTTTCAGCAATCTGATCTCACGTTCGATATCTGTGTTGGGAGGCGGATTCAGGGAGACGGCCCAGGAAGAAGAGCGATGATTGAGAGATGGAGAAGCTGGTAACTGGCCTATTATATTGCTTTTCAAAGTATTCAACTCGTGGGACTTGGTTGCACTGATAGGTTCTGGCCATCACAGCCGAACACTTATACAGACCCTGTCAAACTATTTGCGTTCGATTGATTCTTTTTCACCAGGATGTCCTTCCTTGATTCTACTCTACACTTCATAGGTATGCTCAAACCGCTAGTTTTTTTGTCTGTTAATCGTTACCAGCCTTTTGTAGGTTCTACTTACACTTTCTGTCAAACGTTCCACAAAATCCTCTCAAGTATGGTGTTTTCCACATGTACATTATATTACATTTACATTTGAGGTCTCATTCCTGTGATTGCAATTATGGCTAAGGTACCATACCTCCAGTTAACTAGCCTTTGTGTGCCTCATCATTTCTCTGTTCTATCGGTGGGTGGTGCCCCGGAATCGCCATCGTTATCACCTAGACTCTGTATCGAATGTGGGCAATTCAAGAAATCGTCGGCGGCCCTTCATTTGCTCATATTGTGTTTTTGTCCACCTCCTTGAATGACCGCTAATGTTGTTGTTTCCATTATCCTTATTTTTGCTCTGGAATCCACGGCAATTGCATTCGCCGCTTTGCGCCACATGGATTAAGATTGATCAACTGGACTGGACCTTGTTTGATTGGGCTTTTACTAACATATTATTAATTTTGAGGATCCGCACTCTTGCTAACAATGCAGCCAGTGCATATGATTACCTGACACTACTTATACATGATAAATACGAATAGAGTACGTCACTACTGTGATCATTTAAAGGGGGCCGAGAAGTTTGAATGGTTAAAAGGCTGACGGGAACATAGCCAATCAAACACCACCAACGTGATGAATATTGGTGCGAGTAATTGATCACAATCGCCTGAGTTTGAACCGCTCGCAAATAATTGGGGCAAATTGCATTTTCTACTAACTGCCTTTGGGCCGCGGAGATGGACGCGTACAGTGACGGAGACTGAACAGTATCCAATGGAATCAGTCGCACACAGCATATATGCTTCAGCGTTCTAACTTGTATACTACACTATGACTTGTGCATCATTCCTTGGTTAATGGATTTCTGACAATGGCCGACATTTTTCGCTGGGCTGCACGATAGTGAGTAATTGTTCCCTTATCTCTGTGGCGGCAAACACCGTACTCTTCCCCGACGCCGCCAAACCACTAGCGATATTGTCACCGAACCAACCAAGCATTTGTGTTGCTAATCGCCTCTTTAGAGCAAGTGGTCACTTGCTCCTTCATCTGGTACTACAGAGCGCCAACTGAGTCCATGGAGCCGACATTATTCAAGCTTATTCTCAACACACCGCTTCTCACTATTACCAAGGCTATGGTCATTAAGTTTCCACTGGCTTACATGGAACCGCGCACAGATTTACCAATATACCTGCACCATGTTACGTACTAGTCTATGAGCTGTCTCATATTCAACTCGACAGCACGCTGTCATGCGCACTTGACGCATATTACAGTGGTTTTTGAAACTACTACTTGGGTGCATCCAGGTGACAATATCACAGGCGTACCGAGGGAACTGTTTCCCCTTTTCAGCTCCTGGGTGGTACGCAGCAAATGCAAGCGATCGACACTCCAACACTTCTGATGATTGGGTTGACTTCAGTCAGTGGAAGTAGCCGATTGCTCTTCCTTATAACGAAGGATAACTGAAAGCCATGCATGCGACCCATGGTGGGACCATATACGCTGCTGGACGTTGTGGGTTCGTCCTTGTCCGAGTTGTGTGCGTCGTTACGTCATCATCGAGCTGGGACTACTCAGTTCTATCGGGTAGTTAGTGTAGCATACCGTATACCATCTTCGCACTGGTTTCCGTCCGCATTTTCGATCCGGCATACTCTTTGACTAACGCCTGTCTCATGCAAATTGATTCGGTCATCCGCGTCCGGTAGTGAATCAATGTTCCATAGCAACCAGGGCCGTGTGCCGCATTGAAGCTCGAATGGGGGTATCGTTCCATTGGAGCGCCCACTTTCCTATTTTCAGCACCTAGTTGCATTGACATGTAATTGCGCTTGGCTACGGATCAGGCATATATGTGGATCTGAATTCGGAGTTCTAATTCACCAAGTATGTGAGACGACGTAACAAAAGGGATGGGTCGGTATAGAGGTTAAGCAGCCAGCCCCTACTAGCTTTTTAACATAATGAAAACCGTTGTGTATGTGCATTTCCCCTACCATTCATTCACTTACTGTAGTATTAAACTAACGGGCTCCATCACTGGAATATTTTGATTTCTCCTCTTCATTGTGTAATGGATGATATGGTGTACCCCGACTGTGCAGCTGTTTAGACTACAGTTGATTCTTGGAATCATTATCGTCATCATCACTACACGTTAGCTGAGGGTTAGAAACACGCCTCTGCTAATGTGCCGCAATACAAAAAGATAACATACTAAAAACAACACTACAGAAAACTCAAAAATTCAAGTAATGTAGAGTTAAATATAATATTATTAATTTGCTATGAGATCGTGATTGGAGGGGAATCTAAAAGGCAGGGGGGTGGACAAAGAAACTCTCTCTTCCATCCGGGCGCGCAAACCACATCGCGGGAGTCTGTGCGCTAGCATACACAACACGTGGGGTTCTTTTACTAGCACCTTGCAACGGTGTTTTAACTGGGGCAGGAAATTGATTCCATTACCCATCCTAGACGCTGTTTGCCAATCGCCTCACACCATTGGGCTCTAGCTCCTAGATTGATTAAAAGTGTTGTTCTACTTTCACTTGTCTCTCACTATGGAGTGTTAACCGTCATCCAGTCAGTGGCAAACGACTTTGATGGCAAACTCAAGCCACAATAAACGCTTGACTCACAAAACGCCTCCATGTATATTGTTACTCCACTTCCAGTAAGAATGACATTTTTGGGCCCATGAGTTTCCTCCTTTGATTTAGTCAACCGAATGATGAGGCATTCACCGTAACGTACCGAACTTCATCTGGCTGCCAGCAGCATCCATTGACTGCATCTGCTGGATTCGCATGCCGCTAGCTGTCGTGTTCGTTTTTAGTGTCCATCTGTTGCCACCGGCCAGATGTACCGCCCCCGCCCACACACCCGCGCCTCGAATTCATCTTGCAACATGGGGGATAGTTGACCATCAGGAACTCGCCACTACAACTGGTTTCGAACCACGGAGGACTTTCTCCTTAACAATAGTGGGCAAACTCCTACTCCGAATTCTGTCTACACCGGTAGACTGCGGGGGTTGCTTGTTCTTCATAACTCACAGCTCCATCTACGCGATTCATGTTCATTCCGAGTCCTAATGAGTTAACCCGGGTGTCACAATTTCTTTGCTTTTGTCCCGCAACTTGTACATGCGTGCACCTCATGAACAAATCGGAATTCTCCTGATGTTGCACCGGGATCATGGCAATGGTCGCGGGCCACAGCTGCAGCGTACACCACGAGAGATTGCACTTTGGAGTCTATGCCTCGTGTAGTATCATTACTTTTAGCCGTTTATGTAAACTTGGGGGAGACACGCATACAAGGCATACATAGGGCTATGGACTGGCATTCGCACATTCAATGACGGAATCACCTAGTCAATTAATTTGTTGATTAATCAACAAACTAATCAATTACTTAGTCCATCGAAACGACTGTGAAACCTTATACGGGTTTTGGACACATCTTCATCTCATGACTTTGTGTTGGTTTTACTGGGTTTGCCAGTTCCTGGCTGTTTATTATATTTTTTATTCAGAATCTTTCTCAGAACTATTACAGCACACAATATCGGAGAATCCGTCTGTGACCTACTAACATCCCTCGGTAGTTTTGCATCCGAATCTCATGGTAGCTCTCTACTCAGTTGCCATCTGTTTGTGTTCCTAAGGTGCCTTGGCACTGAACACGCTTTTCACACTTTCTTTTTTCACCACTACTTCTATCCTCCTTATTAATGATAATGTGGAATGGGAATGATAGACTTAGCGAACACCTGGTCTTTTGCTGGCCTCCGCAATCCTTCTCATCGAATTCATTGCGCCACACTCGCATTTTGAGTACCGGCATGTTGCACTCTCTGATTGTCACTTAGGTCGGACCAGACGGAGTCGCAGTTGGGGTGGAGCACATCCCCGAGCTGACCAAAATGGCAACGGAGAACGTAGCGAATTGGTTGCAACAAAGTCCCGTGGCAAAACAGAAAGGTATCAAGCTGGGAAAACAAATTAAGCTTATCACTCACGACGGTCGTTTGGGGTGGCCGGAAGATGCGCCATACGATGCAATTCACGTGGGTGCCGCTGCATCATCCATTCCACAAGCAGTGAGTTGGCAACTTCACTTGCTCTCTTCGCTCCATCCATTTTTTCCCTTTCCCTTCATATGCTAAATACTGCCTCTTTCTTCACTTAGCTTTATGATCAACTAAAACCTGGTGGACGTTTGATCTGTCCCCACGGGCCCGAGGGTGGTAATCAAGTCCTTGCTCAAATCGATCGCCTTCCCGACGGGACGTTCAAGGAAACAAACCTGATGGGTGTCATATACGTTCCCCTTACCGATAGGGAGCGTCAGCTGCGCCATCGGTAAGTTGATGTCCCATCTCGGGTGCCACATATCCCCTCTTGCACTTGGATCCTCTGATTTGTAATACGCTCCGTACCAAACTATCAGGATAACTTGCACCCACGGTCCTTTTCCAGCACTATAAATAGATCGGTTTCTGCTTTTCAACCCCATGCGCAACTCGCATGCTGCCGTTTTCCCAAAAAATGGACGCACTTCTTATTTGTGTGCAATTGGATAGTCGTCACTCGTACCTACTGTGCGAAGCACTTCTTCGGCTTGCGTATGCGCGAAATGTCGAAGAGTCGGCACACCGTTACATCAACGCGTCTCGGTTTGACAGCACTGTATCTCGCTCAGCCTATTTACACAGCGATGATCCCAGTGCTGAGGACAGTACACTCCATTCCTTAGTTTCGACTCACCATGACAACAAACATCCAAGTCATAAAACAGGTTATGCGCACCAAATTGCGACGGAGCTGTATGTTGCCAGATGCGTCTCCAGGTTCCGAATTGGGAACTGTGTTGAAGTGACTGCATACATCTTGTCTACTCACATACATAATCAATCATCAGTCGTGGATTGTCAGCTACAGCGTTCTGGGTTGATCACCGAATTTCCTCTTAAATGCCACAGGGGCTCGTGCGGCGTTGTATCAAAGCCAATGCCACTTGCCACCGACAAGAAGTGAGTGCATAGCATGGTTCGCTTGAGCAACCTTAATCGCTACTGATTACTGCATGAATTGTCTTCCGACCACTAGTAATGCGTGTCATCTACTGCTGATCTCTGTTTCCGAGTGTTGCGTTGTGAAATCCTCGACTGATTCGGCTTCCTAGCCAGATCAAAGGATTCGGTCTTTGCGGACTGTGGGACTTGTGCGTAAAGTGGCTGATCGAAATCAGCTTGATACACCCCATGGAACTTAATCACTGAGTATTTTCTACTTAGCCGTACCAAGACGAGGACTTACCTCACACGACTATTCGGTACCCCGAAAGACAACGACCTTCAACGAATGCGCCTTTACAATCTTTATCCAAAAGGACCGCACAGTATGGAAAGTTAACATCGTTGGGCAGTAATTGTCAGAGTTAATTGATTGCTTCCCGATAATGGTACCACTGAAAGAATCACCTAGTCGATGGTCTGGGAACAGTGTCTGCAAGTGGAAGATAATTTATTGCCGTCTGTTAACGCTGTTACCAAGAAAACGTGTATCACACTCCAACAGCATGGCAGACTTCGGGCTGAGTGCTCTTCTGCAACCTCGAATTCTGCCATGCTGTTGGCGTGTGGTAACTTACACGTTTTCTTGGTAACAGCGTTAACAGACGGCAATAAATTGTTTTCCTCTTGCAGACACTGTTACCAGGCCATCGACTAGGTGATTCCTTCAGTGGTACCGTTATCGGGCAGCAATCAATTAACTCTGACAACTACTGCCCAACGACGTTAACTGTCCATACTGTGCGGTCCTTTTGGATAAAGATTGTAAAGGCGCATTCGTTGAAGGTCGTTGTCTTTCGGGGTAGCGAGTAGTCGTGTGGGGTAAGTCCTCGTCTTGGTACGGCTAAGTAGAAAATACTCAGTGATTAAGTTTCATGGGGTGTATCAAGCTGAACTCGATCAGACAATTTACGCACAAGTCACACAGTCCGCAAAGACCGAATCCTTTGATCTGGCTAGGAAGCCGAACCAGTCGAGTATTTCACAACGCAACACTCGGAAACAGAGATAAGCAGTAGATGACACACATTACTAGTGGTCGGAAGACAATTCATGCAGTAACCGGTAGCCATTAAGGTTGCTCACCCGAAACGTGCTATGCACTCAACTCTTATCGGTGGTAAGTGGCATTGGCTTTGATACAACGCCGCACGAGCCCCTGTGGCATTTAAGAGGAAATTCGGTGATCAACCCAGAACGCTGTAGCTGACAATCCACGACTGATGATTGATTATGTATGTGAGTAGACAAGATGTATGCAGTCACTTCAACACAGTTCCCAATTCGGAACCTGGAGACGCATCTGGCAACATACAGCTCCGTCGCAATTTGGTGCGCATAACCTGTTTTATGACTTGGATGTTTGTTGTCATGGTGAGTCGAAACTAAGGAATGGAGTGTACTGTCCTCAGCACCGGGATCATCGCTGTGTAAACAGGCTGAGCGAGATACAGTGCTGTCAAACCGAGACGCGTTGATGTAACGGTGTGCCGACTCTTCGACATTTCGCGCATACGCAAGTCGAGGAAGTGCTTCGAACAGTAGGTACGAGTGATGACTATCCAATTGCACACAAATAAGAAGTGCGTCCATTTTTGGGAAAACGGCAGCATGCGAGTTGCGCATGGGGTTGAAAAGCAGAAACCGATCTATTTATAGTGCTGGAAAAGGACCGTGGGTGCAAGTTATCCTGATAGTTTGGTATGGAGCGTATTACAAATCAGAGGATCCAAGTGCAAGAGGGGATATGTGGCACCCGAGATGGGACATCAACTTACCGATGGCGCAGCTGACGCTCCCTATCGGTAAGGGGAACGTATATGACACCCATCAGGTTTGTTTCCTTGAACGTCCCGTCGGGAAGGCGATCGATTTGAGCAAGGACTTGATTACCACCCTCGGGCCCGTGGGGACAGATCAAACGTCCACCAGGTTTTAGTTGATCATAAAGCTAAGTGAAGAAAGAGGCAGTATTTAGCATATGAAGGGAAAGGGAAAAAATGGATGGAGCGAAGAGAGCAAGTGAAGTTGTCAACTCACTGCTTGTGGAATGGATGATGCAGCGGCACCCACGTGAATTGCATCGTATGGCGCATCTTCCGGCCACCCCAAACGACCGTCGTGAGTGATAAGCTTAATTTGTTTTTCCCAGCTTGATACCTTTCTGTTTTGCCACGGGACTTTGTTGCAACCAATTCGCTACGTTCTCCGTTGCCATTTTGGTCAGCTCGGGGATGTGCTCCACCCCAACTGCGACTCCGTCTGGTCCGACCTAAGTGACAATCAGAGAGTGCAACATGCCGGTACTCAAAATGCGAGTGTGGCGCAATGAATTCGCTGAGAAGGATTGCGGAGGCCAGCAAAAGACCAGGTGTTCGCTAAGTCTATCATTCCCATTCCACATTATCATTAATAAGGAGGATAGAAGTAGTGGTGAAAAAAGAAAGTGTGAAAAGCGTGTTCAGTGCCAAGGCACCTTAGGAACACAAACAGATGGCAACTGAGTAGAGAGCTACCATGAGATTCGGATGCAAAACTACCGAGGGATGTTAGTAGGTCACAGACGGATTCTCCGATATTGTGTGCTGTAATAGTTCTGAGAAAGATTCTGAATAAAAAATATAATAAACAGCCAGGAACTGGCAAACCCAGTAAAACCAACACAAAGTCATATGAAGATGTGTCCAAAACCCGTATAAGGTTTCACAGTCGTTTCGATGGACTAAGTAATTGATTAGTTTGTTGATTAATCAACAAATTAATTGACTAGGTGATTCCGTCATTGAATGTGCGAATGCCAGTCCATAGCCCTATGTATGCCTTGTATGCGTGTCTCCCCCAAGTTTACATAAACGGCTAAAAGTAATGATACTACACGAGGCATAGACTCCAAAGTGCAATCTCTCGTGGTGTACGCTGCAGCTGTGGCCCACGACCATTGCCATGATCCCGGTGCAACATCAGGAGAATTCCGATTTGTTCATGAGGTGCACGCATGTACAAGTTGCGGGACAAGAGCAAAGAAATTGTGACACCCGGGTTAACTCATTAGGACTCGGAATGAACATGAATCGCGTAGATGGGGCTGTGAGTTATGAAGAACAAGCAACCCCCGCAGTCTACCGGTGTAGACAGAATTCGGAGTAGGAGTTTGCCCACTATTGTTAAGGAGAAAGGTCCTCCGTGGTTCGAAACCAGTTGTAGTGGCGAGTTCCTGATGGTCAACTATCCCCCAGGTTGCAAGATGAATTCGAGGCGCGGGTGTGTGGGCGGGGGCGGGGGCGGTACATCTGGCCGGTGGCAACAGATGGACACTAAAAACGAACACGACAGCTAGCGGCATGCGAATCCAGCAGATGCAGTCAATGGATGCTGCTGGCAGCCGGATGAAGTTCGGTACGTTACGGTGAATGCCTCATCATTCGGTTGACTAAATCAAAGGAGGAAACTCATGGGCCCAAAAATGTCATTCTTACTGGAAGTGGAGTAACAATATACATGGAGGCGTTTTGTGAGTCAAGCGTTTATTGTGGCTTGAGTTTGCCATCAAAGTCGTTTGCTACTGACTGGATGACGGGTAAACACTCCATAGTGAGAGACAAGTGAAAGTAGAACAACACTTTTAATCAATCTAGGAGCTAGAGCCCAATGGTGTGAGGCGATTGGCAAACAGCGTCTAGGATGGGTAATGGAATCCAATTTCCTGCCCCAGTTAAAACACCGTTGCAAGGTGCTAGTAAAAGAACCCCACGTGTTGTGTATGCTAGCGCACAGACTCCCGCGATGTGGTTTGCGCGCCCGGCGTCTGGATGGAAGAGAGAGTTTCTTTGTCCACCCCCCTGCCTTTTAGATTCCCCTCCAATCACGATCTCATAGCAAATTAATAATATTATATTTAACTCTACATTACTTGAATTTTTGAGTTTTTTGTAGTGTTGTTTTTAGTATGTTATCTTTTTTTATTGCGGCACATTAGCAGAGGCGTGTTTCTAACCCTAGTCTAACGAGTAGTGATGATGACGATAATGATTCCAAGAATCAACTGTAGTCTAAACAGCTGCACAGTCGGGGTACACCATATCATCCATTACACAATGAAGAGGAGAAATCAAAATATTCCAGTGATGGAGCCCGGTAGTTTAATACTACAGTAAGTGAATGAATGGTAGGGGAAATGCACATACACAACGGTTTTCATTATGTTAGAAAGCTAGTAGGGGCTGGCTGCTTAACCTCTATAACGACCCATCCCTTTTGTTACGTCGTCTCACATACTTGGTGAATTAGAACTCCGAATTCAGATCCACATATATGCCTGATCCGTAGCCAAGCGCAATTACATGTCAATGCAACTAGGTGCTGAAAATAGGAAAGTGGGCGCTCCAATGGAACGATACCCCCATTCGAGCTTCAATGCGGCACACGGCCCTGGTTGCTATGGAACATTGATTCACTACCGGACGCGGATGACCGAATCAATTTGCATGAGACAGGCGTTAGTCAAAGAGTATGCCGGATCGAAAATGCGGACGGAAACCAGTGCGAAGATGGTATACGGTATGCTACACTAACTACCCGATAGAACTGAGTAGTCCCAGCTCGATGATGACGTAACGACGCACACAACTCGGACAAGGACGAACCCACAACGTCCAGCAGCGTATATGGTCCCACCATGGGTCGCATGCATGGCTTTCAGTTATCCTTCGTTATAAGGAAGAGCAATCGGCTACTTCCACTGACTGAAGTCAACCCAATCATCAGAAGTGTTGGAGTGTCGATCGCTTGCATTTGCTGCGTACCACCCAGGAGCTGAAAAGGGGAAACAGTTCCCTCGGTACGCCTGTGATATTGTCACCTGGATGCACCCAAGTAGTAGTTTCAAAAACCACTGTAATATGCGTCAAGTGCGCATGACAGCGTGCTGTCGAGTTGAATATGAGACAGCTCATAGACTAGTACGTAACATGGTGCAGGTATATTGGTAAATCTGTGCGCGGTTCCATGTAAGCCAGTGGAAACTTAATGACCATAGCCTTGGTAATAGTGAGAAGCGGTGTGTTGAGAATAAGCTTGAATAATGTCGGCTCCATGGACTCAGTTGGCGCTCTGTAGTACCAGATGAAGGAGCAAGTGACCACTTGCTCTAAAGAGGCGATTAGCAACACAAATGCTTGGTTGGTTCGGTGACAATATCGCTAGTGGTTTGGCGGCGTCGGGGAAGAGTACGGTGTTTGCCGCCACAGAGATAAGGGAACAATTACTCACTATCGTGCAGCCCAGCGAAAAATGTCGGCCATTGTCAGAAATCCATTAACCAAGGAATGATGCACAAGTCATAGTGTAGTATACAAGTTAGAACGCTGAAGCATATATGCTGTGTGCGACTGATTCCATTGGATACTGTTCAGTCTCCGTCACTGTACGCGTCCATCTCCGCGGCCCAAAGGCAGTTAGTAGAAAATGCAATTTGCCCCAATTATTTGCGAGCGGTTCAAACTCAGGCGATTGTGATCAATTACTCGCACCAATATTCATCACGTTGGTGGTGTTTGATTGGCTATGTTCCCGTCAGCCTTTTAACCATTCAAACTTCTCGGCCCCCTTTAAATGATCACAGTAGTGACGTACTCTATTCGTATTTATCATGTATAAGTAGTGTCAGGTAACCATATGCACTGGCTGCATTGTTAGCAAGAGTGCGGATCCTCAAAATTAATAATATGTTAGTAAAAGCCCAATCAAACAAGGTCCAGTCCAGTTGATCAATCTTAATCCATGTGGCGCAAAGCGGCGAATGCAATTGCCGTGGATTCCAGAGCAAAAATAAGGATAATGGAAACAACAACATTAGCGGTCATTCAAGGAGGTGGACAAAAACACAATATGAGCAAATGAAGGGCCGCCGACGATTTCTTGAATTGCCCACATTCGATACAGAGTCTAGGTGATAACGATGGCGATTCCGGGGCACCACCCACCGATAGAACAGAGAAATGATGAGGCACACAAAGGCTAGTTAACTGGAGGTATGGTACCTTAGCCATAATTGCAATCACAGGAATGAGACCTCAAATGTAAATGTAATATAATGTACATGTGGAAAACACCATACTTGAGAGGATTTTGTGGAACGTTTGACAGAAAGTGTAAGTAGAACCTACAAAAGGCTGGTAACGATTAACAGACAAAAAAACTAGCGGTTTGAGCATACCTATGAAGTGTAGAGTAGAATCAAGGAAGGACATCCTGGTGAAAAAGAATCAATCGAACGCAAATAGTTTGACAGGGTCTGTATAAGTGTTCGGCTGTGATGGCCAGAACCTATCAGTGCAACCAAGTCCCACGAGTTGAATACTTTGAAAAGCAATATAATAGGCCAGTTACCAGCTTCTCCATCTCTCAATCATCGCTCTTCTTCCTGGGCCGTCTCCCTGAATCCGCCTCCCAACACAGATATCGAACGTGAGATCAGATTGCTGAAAATGATTCAGGAAGCAATAGCTGATAGACCTCCTCCGGCCCTCTTCAGACTCGGGGGACTTGTTCTTGTAGATAATCTGTACAACTTACCAGTGAATCCGTGGGAACAGGAAACTGTCGCAACATGTTGGAGCTCCTTCGTTATAGTCCCAATTTTCAAAAAGGGTTCACGTTTGGAATGCGGCAATCATATAAGGATCAGTATGACCTCAGTTGCTCGTAGGTTATCTGTCTCACTCGTTCTTGATAAACTCGCGAAGGCCAAATTCGTGAGGAGCAAGCCGGGTTTCGTCAGTCTCTGTTGCATTGAGCACAGCATCACATTATGTTAGCTGTTGGAGCACCGCCCACCGTAGACGTGTTACCCGACATCAAAGGTGTTTTCGATTCGGTTGATCCATGTGTCCTCTTGGACTGTCTACTCAAGAAAAGTGGGCCCGTTAAATATGTAAACATTATCAAAGCGTTTCACACGCATAGTTCGAACAGAGTGAGGGCTCACGGCAAGTGGTAGTCGCCCTTCTATATCGCCAGCAGTGAGAGACAAGGATGCCTGCTATCAACATTCCTTGATAACTTACCCATCCACGAAGCCTTGGAAACTGCGTTCAATGAGCGAGGCCCACTAGGCGCGGAGCTGGTCCCAGATGAGCGATTCCTTGGCTCGAGTACGCCGACGAAATTGCTCCAAACTGTGACAGCTCACAAGCGTACCAAGTAGGATTGGACAAATTAGCATTGGATGGGCGTTGCATCGTCGAAATGCAAAGCCCCTCTCCATGACGTGCCGAAACCCATCCCTGAGGTGACTCCGGGGATCAGCTAAAGTCGTCGAAAAATTCTATTACTAGGCAGCTACATCAACGCCTGTGGGATGGAAGATGATACCACGAACCGTATAGCAAAAGCCCCAGGGGTTTTGCCAATCTCCGCCCGCTGGGGCACCGACGCGATAGTATTCTCGCCCCGAAGGGCAGAGTTTACAACGCAGCCGTTTGTTAAACCCAACTATATAGTTGCGAAACCTGGCCCATCAAATCGACGGACATAAAGGGGCTAGTCCCGTTCGGTCATCGCTGCCATTGCAGCTTAGCCCACATCTGGTGGAAGCCCCGCGTGAATAATGAGCGTGTTCGGCGTCGTGCATTTGGTGCAGGAAGAGCGAGTGAACCGCTCGGTACCGTTATTTAACGCAACAAGCTTCGATGGGAGGGCCAGGTGTTGCGCATGCCAGCACACTGACTCTCGCGACATACGTTGTTTGCGCGCAGGCGATGTGGACGGAAGAAAAGGAGGCCAAGCGACGATTTAGTCGAAAGGAATGAAGGCACTGACATCGAATTTGGCGTCGGTTGGTGTCTCCCGACTGAAGGGCTGAGGGCCGAAGGACGATGACTACGACCGGTTCGATACACTAGTTGACATGGCAAGAAGCCGACCTCAGTGGCGTTTGTGTCGGGAGCATCTTCGTCCCTCCTAATTTCGTTTATCTTCCCTCCGATCACGATCTGTCTTGAAGCATAGAATGTTAATAAGCGATTTTTGTACTCTGTAACGTTTAGCATCACGCTTTTTCATTTAGCTTATCTATTTGTATTGCGGCGGTGTCTCTCACCTTCAGCTAATGTATACTTATGATGAGTCCCACGGATCTTCAAGCAAAAAAAACGACGGAACACCAAGCTCATGCAAATAAACAATCCGTTAAAAAGATACCAGGCTGTCTTGGCATTTTGCAATACTATCCGGAAGTGGAACTTGAGAAGCACGCAAGATTGCGGAGACACGAGGAGGAGAGAAATCACGAACCTACTACAACGAACTCAACAATGCGGCCATACATGCGGTAAGATAGCCTGAACCAGAGCCAACGTCGAGCACATGAGCTCCAGGGTACAGTCTTTACTTAAGAGCTTCCAAGGCATGTGCGTGCTGTAAGGGTGACAAAAAGGACGGTACAAAAAGAAGGCACTCACAAGTCACCGTGGTGAAAACGGGAAAAAGTTTGCTGCAGCGGACTTGCGAATGAATTTCACCGGAATAATTACAGCAGTCAACCACAAAGCAATCGCAGTCTGTCAAAGCGTGCACTTTAAAAAGGTCAAACTAAAACGACAAGAAGCTACTAGGCGGTTGCGTGGAGGGAGGTCGCTAATGGTTATATGGTTACATGACAGTAAGTCTAAAGGCAGTCGCGCAAGGAGACAGATTTGATGCGACCTGTAATTCGTAACTATACTAGGCAAATACAAGAGGATCTAAAGTTTGAACTAGGTAACACGACGAAGAGCGAGCGTCCGGAATAGATAAATTAATGATTAGTGACACTAATCTCAATGACATAGAGGTGAAGTTTGTGTCTTTTTTGCACATGGGTAATAGGATCTTGTTTTTGACAAATTCATTTGGCAAGTGCATCATCCCATCTCGTTTTCGATGAAGCGGCATCTTCAACTCTGTGTTGTACTGCTGCAGAGCATCTTCCAAACAGTCTCGGCGGCGAAAGTCAAGACAAACGGATCCACCGCCAACCCGGTGATAGAATAACAGTCGGGTACTATCGAGAATGAACGGATTTAAAGTAGCAGCAGGTGGAAAGCTGTAAAGCTAAACTCACGAAAAACCCCAGCATACAGCTGCATTCTCAGACAGATACACAGAGTGAAAAATCACTACATCCGGTGGATATGAGTAAAAAAAGCATTAGATGGTAGCGCAGTTACCTGTTATATAAGACAGAGTTAAAACGGATGTCCGCAACAGTTACGCGCTGTTGGACCATTGTAAGGATTTGAGTGGTCGTGTTTACACGACCCTCGACCAACAAAGCCATCAGGAAATTTTGGTAAAACAAACATTTCAAAGAGTACTTACGTGACAATTTAGCATTGCCACCTGCCAGCTTCCTATGACAGTTAGACTGCTCCATTCCCTACATATCGAACCAGGCGCGCAATTATGCGCTGAAAGCGTTGCGAGGTTTACCGTACTCGCTTCCAGCTAGAAAGCATCGGTAAGCATCGGAAAATTCCTGTGACTGTAAAGAGACTAACTGCTCAGGCTGACAACCGCATTTGTTACATTAAGATAGGATGGCTGCGAATGATGCCAAGTGGACATGCGATCGCTATCATCAGCAGCAGCAACAGCTGTACACCATCCGTATGAACTAATGCTTCGCTACCGTAAAACTACGGTGACCTGCGGAACGAAGTACAATAAGAGTGAGAGAAGGGGGGCTTACTGGAAAATCTTCTCCTGCAAGAAATAATCAGGGTCAAGGCGCCTACATCTTGTGTCAACAACATACCATTATAAACGGCTGGATATCGTGCGAAGACAAGACGGCATCAGCGAGACAGCTCCTTTCCGGCTTTCACTGCTCCACGTCATAATCAGCCAATGCCCAGAAGCTAACCCAGTACCTAACACACTCTAAACAGGCAGTCCGACGAGCAGAGGACAACTGACACGCCACTGGTGCAGACTGTAAGCCATGTCCTGTAAAGTCTCAAGCGAAGCACAAGGCACGTCACGTGGACTCTAAGCTGGAAGGCGAGACGGACCGCAGGCAGCGACTTTGGTCGGTGCTGACTTCATCTACCGTTAAAAAGTTAGTTATTACTCACAAGAAGTTTTGGTCCAACCTACAAATAAACAAAGAAAACGTGGCGCTCCTCCTTCATATGGAATCTGCCCGGACGACAGATGGCCATAGTAAAGCCAAAGCCTTACACACACAACGGAGGTCGCTGAGACGAATTGTGATCGCCTCCGCCAATGCAAGGATCCGGCATCTTATGGGCTTGGAACGGATATCCATCACATGATAGATGGGGTGAAAGGCTTAAGTGATAACGACGGGACTGCGTGCGAGACTATTGCGGTGGTGCAGGTTTTGTTCAATCCTTGGCTTAGCCACGATGGGCGATGCTTTCGGATGCGTTCAAACAAACATCTCGTGGTGCGACCTATGTAACATGTGCCACATGAACACGTAAATTGGTACACACAGAAAGTAGTGACATCCACAGATAAGTTATTCTTCAGTCGGAGGTGTAGCATGGGCGTAGAAGTGAAGATAATGCGTAATTACGAGGCTCCGCAGGTGTTAATGACGGCCACTCTTAATCGTCTGCTGTGATGTTCGGAATTGTTGTCTCCCTTGAATGGAAACAATAAGTAACCGGGCGTCTTTCCTACCGTAGGTGCTTTGGCAGTCACAGTCAGTTCGCATATGCATGTCAATGAAAACCTTGGGATAGATGTTATTAATGAACAATTTTCTTATTACGATGCGCTCTGCTCCAAATGTGTCCTGGGAGCATATTTGTATCGCTCCTCCCACAATACTTTGTCCAGTTTTTGCCTAATTGGCACACCGCCATCAAAATGCGTATATTGACCCAGTTATTTTGGTTTCCAGAGGATTAGACGCTGCAGTAAGCCAGCTGGAGGACATGAAATCTGTACATCCAGAAAAGCCAGACGCGGAGTGCATGCAAACTGAATGTTCCTGTGGGTCCGATTAAATTTTCGTAATAGTTAGAGATGGTCCACAGAGCCGTCAGCTATGCACATCACGTCGTCGAAATATATATATATATATATATATATATATATATATAGTGGCGCATATATATATATATATATATATATATATATATATATATATATATATATATATATAGTGGCACAAGCTCAATCACTTCGCTCAGCGGATCTTTCTCTAGTTTAGCCATGAACATTTCGATGAACAAGGGACCCAATGGTGACCCCGTCTTCTTTTCGGAATAACTGTCCGGCAGAGTGAAATAGGACGTTGTGATAGCATCTTCAGCTAATCCACCGATAAGCCAATTTGTTTACCCGTGCGCCTAATGTATTCGGCAAGGTAATCGATAGTCTCTTTAAGGAAGATATTAGTAAACATCGACGTCACATTGAGCGAAAATAGCTGCTTGTTATCCATATTTTGGGGTCTAGCTCTGTCGACGAATTAGAAAGTGTCACGCAAACTATGATTCGATGGCTCGCTTTTTGTTGTTTTCAGTAGTTCGTCCAGCCATTTTGCCAACGTATGATATACAGATTTAGCCATGCCCAGCATGGGTGATGAAGGGGCTCAATCGTTATGTGTCTAGGGTAGTTTATACAATCTGGGAGTACTGATAATTGATGCTTGAGACAGAATGATCAAAGATGCACGCAAACCACTACATTATGTAGGATTCAGAGTCACTGTGACAGCATAAGGTCGCTCTGATGATAAGTGTCGGTGGAGTTGAGTCCTCAAATGACCCGCCTGTGCCGTACACCTCAACATGAATTAAATTCGCTGTCCGGTTCAAAAGCTGGTGTTACAAAGTGACCCAACAACAGTGACCGATAACTGACTACAAGGGAGCAGTAAAAGGGAGCTGAATGGAGTAAGTAAAAGTTTATCGCATTCAGACAGCTATCACAGGCCCGAAAAAGCGCAATACGGCCGTTGCGTTCTTTCGGAAATTGGTATCAGTGTGCAATCCATTTGCCCAGATGGGGCTAGAACCCGCAACCCGACGTACCAGCCCATGGTCAAGGCCACTGGGCTACAGGAGACGGTAAGCACTGAGGTAACTGTTAACAGATGCGATATAACGCCACTCGTTATCCATTAATTTGCAAGTTATTGCCCACGTAGAAGACAGAGTAACTCCTCACCAAGCGACTAACTTATCAAAATGAAGCCATCAATTAACTTGTCGCATTCCAAGCGGCTTGATCTGTACACTGATTACAAGGGGGGAGTAGGGAAAGTTGAAGGATATAAGTAAAGTTCATAACATCTAAACACAGTCAGACAGCCATCACACACTCTTATCGTTTCCTGTAACCCAATGGGCTTAACCAAGGACTGGTAATAGTCGGGTTGAGGTTAGAGTCCCATTGGAGCCAGATGGAATGCGCACTGCGGATGGCTGTTTGGCTGAGTATAGATGTGATGAACTTCCACCTAATAACTGACTAAACAACCAAACAACAGCAGCCCATCAGCCATTTGAACTGACGCTTCGCTGCCGTACAACCACGGTGACCTGCGGAACGAAGTACAATAACAGGGAGAGAAGGGGAACTTCCCGGAAAATCTTGATGCCCTAAGCAAACAATCAGCGTCAAGGCGCCTGCACCCTGTCAACAACAAGCCAGTACAAACAGCTGGTTATTGTGCAAAGGTAAGGCGGCATCCGCCACATAGCTTTCTTGCGACTTTCAGTGCCCCGCGTCATAATCAACTACTACCCAACACATAAATCCGTAAAAAACACTTTAAACAGGCAGACCGACTAGGAAACAACAGCTGACACGCCACTGGTGTCGGCTGCGAGTCATGTCCTGTAACATCTAAAGCGAAGCACAAGGCGAGTCACGTGGATTCTACCCTGGAAGGCGAGAACGACCAACAGCATCTAGTTTTGTAATCAGTGACTACGTTTTCCATGACTACTTTTTCAAACAACTAAGCAGATGTAAATAGTAGTCACTATGTGTTTAAAGCAAAGACAATCGTAAACTAGCCGAGCTGTCACAATCATCCCTCGTTCATTATTCAAGGATAAAGCATGGAACGTTCAATATAGAGAGAGGTCCATCGGCAGAGCATATAATGAAGAGCGGGTGCTATCTTATCGAAGTGGTTGGCTCATACCAACAGACTTGTTGTATCTCTCCGGGTATCTTCGACTAGTTATCGATAGCTGAAGAGAGGCTTCAGCAGTAACGAGAATAACGTTTACTAAGGTTGTAGTCTATAAATGGTAAGGCGCGATGTTTACTAGAGAAGGATAACTGGATACTGCGTGTTATAAAAGCAGCGTAGATCTAACCGCAGTGCCGTGTATGTGTGTGAAGTGCTCACGGTTCAGGCAAACAGAAGCAGTCCAACATTCCGAATCGATCATCTGAAGGTACGGTAAAATGTTAATTTAGTCACTATTTCGCACGACTAACTCAGATATACCGGAGGATCTTCAGAAATGTACCCCATCAATCTGCTCGAGTCAAGACGAGATGTGATAAAATAGATGTACTCGATCAACAAAATGTAAAACTGCGTTTTCCACAAAAATGACATACAAAGCCGTTCAGGAGACTAAGAGTTTATAAGTAAAGAACGATATCGAAACTTAACTTACCATATGTGGTGCACTTATGGTTGCAGCATAACCAATTGGCTTGGGGCTGTCATCATAAGGTTGGCTTTTGGAAAAGAGTCCGCGGTCCACACTCATCATGGCTTCTTTGATGCTAGGAGTACGGATGATGCCATTATCTAATACAAGTAAAATCCAAAGCAAGGCGAACAACTTACTGAACAAATTGTTTACTAACTCCTCGTGCGTTCTTCCGCCCGAATGCCAGGCCATTGCTAAAACCAATGAAGCAGACAGTATGCAGAACGCACTAATCCCAGACCGAAGGTTGATGAAAGGAAAGAGTTTGCAACGAGATAAGAATTGATACATAGCGCGAAGGCTTTGTGCTGGACCGAAGGAGGCGCCTCACCAATGAACGGAAGAGCAGCTGTGTAGAGCAACAGCGAATGATATCGAGAAGTCAACCACGAGACAGATCAGCGAAGAAAGAAAAGTATTAGAGCATTCGATGCGCGAACATACAGAAATGCAGAGAACTAGAAGGAAAAGGCGATTACGCTGATGCATTCCTCGTTTGACCTGGATAAAATCAAGACATTCGTAGGTGAACTCGTGCCTGCTTTCGATCTCAGCGCTCCAAAATGTATCGACAACCTCGAGTCCTCTGGCTTCCTAAATTCTCTGTCCCTCGCCAGTTCGTTTACGTCTTGACAATAATCGCTTCACTAGATGCCAAGGGACCATAAAGATGCACTGCACAGCTGACGAGACTGAACCTTAATGTGGTGCAATGCTTTGCGTTGTTCTTCTTGCAATTTCACAGCCACTCATACAAGAGTGGTCAGTGGTTAGAGGCCAGACCAGCTCAATCTCCTGGCCTATCTGGTTAGACTTCGAAGTAAAGGCGACTGCTTACTCCATAAAAACGGACTCTCTGTAGCCCAGCACCAAAGCCCCACTGCGTTGCAGACAGGTTTTTGAACCAAAAGTTTTGGTTGAGAACCCTAATTATTCTCCTGTCTAGGCCTGGGCAACTTGACAGTACCCTGACCGGGTAACACAATAATCAATTTCTCTCAACACAATTCCTTGATGCACTGGCTGTTGCAGAGGATCATCAATCGAGCCCTAGCTGCTGAATCGAACATGGTGGATAGGAACGAGGCTGCTACTGCTCAAGTCTTCCAGTTTTCTTATTCCGCCTCTTGCACCTATACATCATTATCATCCCATCCCAACCTCACCTTCATGCAACCTATTTTCGAACCCCAAATTGTGCCCCCCCACTTGATTCAATGGCCGCTTGTCTTCTAGTTTCGACTCTCACGTAAGTGCAGAACATCGCACCGGTCTAGTCGACAAGTCCATGTTCAAGCAAGAGGATGAGATCAGTTCATCCGTTTCTATTTAAAAGTCTGGATCCTCGCTAAGAGTGGCATACCTCAACTTATGCACTTTAATGCAGATTAGCCACCAGAGAGCACATACCCGAACACTAAAACCTTATTGATCGACAGCTGCTGCTTACCAGAAACACGTCTGCAAAGATGTGAGTTCCGTGATTACCCTGCGACCCCCCACAAGCGACACTTTCGACGCGTTATCATTGCATGTGACTGGTGAGAACGCACCTTCAAACACTGGTCAATTCGGTGCCGGCATTACTCTGAGTCTCCGGGCTAAAGCTGCCTTGGTTGACTGGATCCCAATCAACAGCCGGATTTCGCCGTCATATGGGCTAGCTTCGAGGCTGCGCGCAAACAAGCGGTGTCTTTTTGGCATTGCGACCTACGCCTCTATAAATTGTGGCGTTGACTCAGCGAAAGATGATTTTGATTACCAAAAGATTGAACATCTTTGTAACAGAAAAAGTACGGATACTGTAGTGCTGAGTGGTGATCTAAACGCCCACTGTCCACTGATAGCGGCACCTAGGCCCCCAACACGATGTAAGCTCCCGTAACGATAACGGTGACATGACGCCCACCAGCCTCAAACCAACCATGGACGAAAAATCGAGCACATCGCGATCAGCTACCGCTGATGACGTAGTGTCCAAAACTGTTGCTCGATTTGGAGTATGAGTGTGGACTCCGACCACGCACTCGTTTGTGCCGCTCGCAGACATCGCATCAGTGAAGCATACAGTGACCTTATGAGCGCAATATACTTGTCAACTGTCAAATTCAGATGTTCTAAATGCATTTCATAAAAAGCTGGTATCCGAGCTGAGTAAGCGTTCTTATAACATAGTGAAGGGCGACCCGTCGCACATCCGCCAGACATTATTGGAAGCAGGTATGTTTTCATGTAGCATGTCTGATTGTTCACAAGGATATTGGGTCTTTATGCAGTCGCTGGAACTTCTGGATGCTCGCCGACACATTCCGAATGAAAACGAACACAATGAAACTTACAAAGACCACAGAGCGAAACTGCGTGTTGGTCTGAAGAAAAAATGTGAAATCCTGTGGTCCCATTGTGCATTAGAGATAGGAATGGCCGATGTCCTCGGTAACCGGCGGATGTTATTCCGTCTGATACGCTAAACGGGCAGGACGAGATCTGGTGTTAGCGAGACTATATGTGGCGAGAATCAACAGCCTACTTACATATTGCTAAAACAATTAGAGAATTAGGTCGAACACCATGAAAATCAGTTTAATCATACAGGTACCATATTCTCCATCGGCCATTAATAACGCTTCTTTCTGGGCCGTTCCGCTGAATCCCTCCCCTTCGCACAGAAGTTAAACGTGAGATAAAACTGTTGAAATTGAATAAGGCCGCAAGAGTAGATAGACTTCCTCCAGCCCTCTTCAGATTCGGGGGAAGTGCTATTGTAGATGATCTGCACAACATGTAGTGAAGCTGTGGAAGAAGAAACCTGATGCAACAGGTTGGAGCCGCTCCGTTATAGTCCCAATTTTCATAATGCGCTCATGTTCAAAATGCGGCAAGCTTAGAGGGATCAGTCTGCTCTTATTTACCTCTGTTACGTGCCTCTTTGATTCTCATGAAGACCAGATTCGTCAGGAGCAGGCCGTATTCCGTCAAAGTCTCGAATGTATCCATTACAACTTAATTTTACGTCAGTTGTTGGAGTACCGTCATAATTATTTGCCGCCCACCGTAGTCGTGCTCCTCGATATCAGTATCTTCGATTCCGTGGATTGATGTGCCCTTTGAGGTGGTCTACTCAGGAAAAGTGCCTGAGAAATAGGTAAACATCAGAGCGCATTACGTGCGTGTTCGGGTAGAGTGATGGCTTATGGCAAACTGTTGCCGCCTATTGTTATCTTCTGCGGTGAGAGAAAAAGTTGCTAGCTGTCACCGTTTCCTACCAAGTTCGCTGGATACGACCTACAAGGCGTGGAGCTGTAACAGCTCACAAACGTGCAAAGTAGAACTGGACAACTTAGAATGGACTGTTAGTAATTTCGGGCTATGCATTACAACCCCGAAATGTAACGTTACTCTAGACTGCCAGGGGCCTCTCCTGCATTAACCCTTAGAACTGATCCCCCTCTCCATCATCATCCCCATTACACAATAGCCGAATGTGAGAAAATATTTCAACCACTATCAGTTCAAAAATCATCAACAGTAAGCCCATACCCAGAGTGCCGACGCCAGCCGCCGCGCAACCATCAGTCGCACGTGGGATAAGGATAACGGCAGGGCTGCCCTGTCGCTACGTAAGCTTGAACCCGTGCCATCAGATTACAACTCAAGCTTGCAACGTCTAGGCTACGGGCCGAAAAGTCATCCGTTATTGTGCCACAATACACAAAGGCATACGAGAAAGTAAAATACTGAAAATTATAGTATGGAAAATAGGCAACACACTACTAAGTAACATATCATGCGTCAAGGGAAAGATCGTGGTTGGAGACAGAAGAAAAACGGGATAGGGGTGAGACAAAGAAACTCACAACACGAACGCCACTGAGGTCCGCTCCTTGCCATGTCAACGTACTGCAAGATCGAACTCGATCTGTATGAATGCCTAAAATGAACGACAGCCTCAGGTATCACAATCCATGGTGATCAGTGTCGAATGTTTGTAATCGACGAGTCTCGCCTGGCCAGTCGGACTCCAGCAAAGAAGACAGATACCGACACTGCACCGCTTGATGGATTGCTTGCACTCAGCCCGCGTTTCTCTTCTCAAATCGAGACAAACATCGCTACTGCCTCGTAGTCATACCCAGGCTTTTCGACATCTGCTTCTGACCCAGTTACGCCCCACTGGTAAGCGAAGCCGGGCGCACTCCTCTACACTTTCTGCGATGCCGACGGCTGTTGATTACTGTGAAGCCCAAAATACCAAGACGTATGCATCCGTTGAAAGGAAAACGCACCATCACCTTCGCCAATACGAGTGTCTGAAAGTAAAGGCAAGACGGGTGTCAGGGTGGAACCCAGACCATCGTCTTCTCAATCGCAGTGGAAGCTGGTTCTGGATAGTCAATCGCTGGAAAAATTGCTTAAGGATGGTCCGCCTACCCAAAACTCGAAGCTCCCCGATAACAACAAAACATTCTCGTGACCATTGCCTTATCATCATAAATGCGTCTGGGTCGTCCAAAGCTATTCCAGCTGAAAGGACTATGTATGATCAAGAGTTTCTAAAACGGATGATCTCGTTACTGCTAAACGAAGGCGAGCCAGGAATTAACAGTCTCCGCTTCCCACCTTGGCAAGAAACAGGAGTACACCTCTAAGGTCCGTCTCGTGGAAATTGTATGTCAAAGTGGTGATGAAATCCGTCGCATTTTCCGACGAGCTCTGTATCCTAAAGGTGAAACTTTTCGTGCTGCGAGACCCCTCTTCGGAGAATCGAATAAAAATGGAAAACAGCTGATGAACTCAGATTATGTCGTGATAACGGTGACAGACCTACATATCGTGGATCTTCGTGTACTTCGAAAAACGCCAAGAACTCGCTGGAGACCACTCCATGTCATGCCCGGGCGCGTATTTTCTTCCAATGTGCGCGGTCTCAGTAACAAACAAGACGAAATTCAGCTTCATGCCACAGTGAACCGGCCGGATCTTATAGCTTTCACCAAGACCTGGTTGTCCTCGAATATCATGGACTCGAAGATCCCTGGATAGCGCCATTTCCGAGCCGACTGTCACGGAGGGAGACCTGGGGGCGGTGTGATACCCTACTGAAAGACGAACTTCAAGAATCATTTGGTTGAAGCTACCTGTGGCAACGATGGCGACTTTGAAACTCTCTAGTGCCATGTTTATGACGGATGCAGATCTATGGTCGGTTGTGTACAGGGCACCATTGTGTTCCGGAGCTTGCCTGCTGGACGCGATCAAAATGCATGGTGGGGGGTAAAGACTGCTTAGTACCGGGACACTTCAATGCCCCGAGTATCGCTTGAAACTTATTGCATTGTGTGCCCTCCTC